TACTTTTCTTACGAACTTTTCAGGGAATTCGAATTCCACAAAGTGAAACTCTACCAAAAGCCAAATTTACATTTTTCGAGGAATGTTAACTAAAAGCTTACTAGTATCTTTAAAAATGTAAAGAAGTGTTTAAAACTCATTTTCGTAATCTTCTACAATACTTTAGCTAAACTAGACAATACATATTGCGGTCGGTTATTTGCTTTTATTAATTCGTAGGAATCCTCCCAATCTTATACATAACCTTACTTTGAAGTGAATTTTCCTATATAAATAAGTAATTTAATACGTTATGATGAGGAAAAGAAACAGAAAAACAGTGAAAATTTTGGCAATTTAACATTTTTGAATGCTGACTGCTAAGAATTTATGAGATAAATTTTATGAGTCTGACGTGAAAAGAGCAAATGATTCTAAAGCCATGCGATAAGTTCAATTCAAAAGAAGTATATACCTTTTTGATATTCCTTTATTTATCGTTAGACTCTTAGTCTATAAACATGAATTTTTTTTTCCTCACCATTGTCAATTGCCTATATATGGGCGTAATATAGTGGCACTTTTAAGCAACTTTATTCTTTTGCCTTTAATCCATATTCGGATTTACTTGTTATTTATCTATGCATATGCATATACAAAAATTCATAATAATACACATAATATATAAAAAAATATAGTATTCCTTCACATAATTTAATGAACTTGATCCATTGGGGATGACACTTTTTTTTGTATTCATAAATGCATATTAGCTTATAAACTATATTATATAAGTATCAATGTATACGTATATTTTTTCTTTTTATAATTTTATTAATATTAATTGATGTACATAGACAAGTTGATATATTAGAAAATTATAAAACAAGTGTCGAACACAATGACCTCTTAGTACGCGCAAAAGTTTATTAATAGCCATACTATATAGGGTAGTAGCTATTGACATAAACACGAAAAAAGAACAAAAGAAAAATATTCTATGACGGAAAAGGTGACAACAAAATGTCATTTTTCTTTTTCTTTATTTTGTTGTTTTCTAGCTGAATGTCTTGCAATTTAAAATGTTCATTTTATTGTTAAAAAAAATTCTTTAAATGAAAAAATACACGGTTTGTTTTTTATAACTCTCTATCAGTAGCTTTATTATGGTACTTAAAAGATGAAAAACATTAAGAGATAATGCTGTGAATATTAATTGAAATTTACAAAATCGAAAAAAAATTATAATAAAAGAAATAAAAACCAAAATATTAGCTTTGAAGAGAAAAACGGCAGCGACAAAGCCTCATCAATTTTATAACATGCGGTAATTTTTTTAAGATGTAATAAAAGAACAAAAATAAAACAAAAGGAGAAAAACAAAAGACAAACGTTAAAAACTCGAAAATATTAATGCGAAACAAAATCATTTTTTTACGTCAGGTGAGGAATTTATGAATGAAAATGTAACTTTGAAAATAGTGAATTTAAATAAAAAAAATGAATTTTTGTTTTCACAATTTTTAACTCACAAATGTAATTTTTATGTCCGACAACGTTGCGAAGCGCTGTATTTGCATAACATGCGATGATTCTACGAATATTAATTTGTGTGACATTTAATTGCTATTGCATTTTCCTGAATGCTAATTTTCATTTTATTATTTTCTGCTTCAATATATGATAAAAATGAAATTTAACTTAAAAGTTACTTAATACAAACAATGCTCCCATTTTATGTGATTTATATTTGTTTTTTAACATACAGGGTGATTCGTCGTTCAGAACATTGTCGAAAATGGGTAAAGTTTTTGTTTAAAATTGCAGATACGTGTCAAAGCTATGGTCATACAAGCATTTAACACCAAATTGTTCGGAATTTTAAAGTTAAATTCTTGTATTTCGGAATTTCTCCGCTCTAACAATAATTAAGATAAGGGTTTGACTTTAAAGGTTTTATTAAAAGCGCTTACTATAAAGTCTTCAAAATAAGATACATTGTTCAAATTTGTGTCTTACGTATTTTCGGAATACCTAGCGTTATCAGTTTTGAAAAAATATAATTTCGTTTGTTTTTTGACTTTTTTCATTAATTTCTAGCCTAATTTATGGAATTCTATAGGCTAGGATAGAAATCAATGAAGATTTGTTAAATTTCATTAATCTTAAAATTTTATTTCCTAATTCTAAATTTGTAAAGAGTGAAAATTGTTCACAGATTTTTCATACTAACTTCAAATAAAGTCAAAAAATGTCAATATATCATTTACAGTTTACATGTTACAAAAAAAAATTATGTGTAATAAGAATTAACGTGCTTAACAATAATTTACACTTCATGTCATAAATTTCTCCTTAGAAGTTTGTTTTTCGAGTTTCCGTAAAAGACGGTGAGGAGTGAAGTATAAAACTTCCAATAGATTAAGCGTGTCATTAAAATAAACTGTTTTCATCTAAATTTTAGCAATTAAACTAAATTTTTCAGTAGTCTTTTCATTTCATAAATTGTTAATATTTGAGTTTCATCAATTCTTCTGATTTTTTTTTGGATAAGGCAATTGCATATACTCTGTACTTTTGAAAATAACAAACTAATAAAAAACATAATTGCCTACATTGTTTAAAAGAGCATATTACGTTTAAAAGTAACACAACATTCTGTCACGATCTCTTCTATTACGTACTTCTTAAATATATAAATTTATACTATATACATTGTAACCCATGCTTTTTTATCTACTTCTTTAAAATATAAACTAAAAATCATAAGTACTTAAAAAAAATTTTTTACCGTAGACAAAAAAAAAAGAATTTTGCAACATTTACAATCAGTAGACTCCGGTAAATTATCATAATTAAGCAGACCACTCAAATCGTCAAGGCCTGCTTTAAGAGCCAGTACTCATTCCATGAATAAGCATATTTGCCTAGTATTACCAAACCTCAAGAAATCTTAAAAACTTTTTCATGTCTAAAAACATATTTAGTTTTTGGGAGCAGAAAAAAAAGATCAAGCTAAGCTTAAAAGTCCTTATAAAGTTTTGTGTTTTTATCATTCCTTTATATGAGAATATTAATGGATTCGTTATGAGGCGAAAACTAAAACCATTTACTTTTAGCTTTTATTCTAAACACCTTCAATTAAAAAATAATACTATATACAAATAATTTTTTTTCTTATTACCCTCATTCTTTACACATCTTTTTGCTTTTATTTTTGATGCAACAATAAAAATTCAATTACATCACAATAGTTTGATCAAGATTTCAACACCCTCAAAACAATTAAATAATGGGTGCATTATTTTATTGCCGCGATAATAAATATGTAAATATATATACATATATATTCAAATATACATATTTATATTAATAATATATAAATGCCTTGATTTTTGTTATTTTACCATTCTTATCGAGCAAAATGTTTAATATTGCCAATGAATATTATAAAATAAGAAAAACCAAAAGAATTTATAGGAACTTATGTTGAAGCACACCAACAAATTTTTACCGTTCTTAAATATTCTTATCGCTTATTCCCTTTTTTTTTTAAAAAAATAAAAAAAGAGAAAGAAAACAATGTAAGTAATGTTAAACGCACATCAAATATAAACCATTGAAAAAAGGATTATGAACAATACATGAATATAAGATTGAACATGTGCATTTTAACCCTCCGTAGATCTTATGGTATACATATATAGTATTTTCCTTTTATTTTTAATACCGTTATTAAACTGTTTATAGTTGTACCATTTTTATTTATATCTTAAATTCACCATAAGTTCATTTTCTGCATTTCATATATAAAGAATGAAAAAATATGAGTAAAATTGGAAGGAGGTCGAATGTTTTGCTTTGATTTACTTGTAACGTGCTCTATTATATTTTATATTAATATATGGTTGAGAAAATGAGGGTGCCATACAGACGTCTGCATTTAAATGTTATAAATACAAATCTTTTATTCTTAAATTAACTGTTTTCATTTATTTTATTTTTTTTAATATTTTGTTATTGTATAATTTTAGTGTATTTTTTGTTTAAGAAAAACTGCGTTCCTCCTATCACTTTAGTACTGTAAAATAATATTTATTGCTACTGTAATTCTATACTTATCATAAACATTATGTCTTTCATACTTCCTTTTTTGAGGGTTAACACTTTTCATTACCATTATATGTTATTATAACAGGATTTAAGGTCATTTTTTGTTTTATTCTATTGTGAAAATTTTTTTACTTTGATCCTGAGATAAGCTATAAACAAATTTAAGAATTATTTAACACTTCGCTGTCTTTTTTTTTTTTATTTATAGTTGTAAGTAAGTATATGAAATTAGAAAGGATTTATCAATTGATTTGGAAAATTTTTTTAGTTTTAAATAAGGTTGAGAAATAAAATTCATTTTAATATCCTAGAAATTCGAATATTATTATTTTTACATTTGTAAATTTATTGTACAGTTGTATATATATATATTATTTTTATCCTGTAGATAAGCCAATGTTAATTTCATTTTCATTTTCTCTGTAATTAAATAGTTTATTTATATAGGAAAATTGTGATAATACTCGTATATTATGAATTGCAGTGATTATTTAAAGAAAAGGTTTACTTAAATAAAAAAATTATTTTTTTTTAAATGTTGATTAATCTTTTTAATACAATTTTAATGAAATAAATTGTTAGATGAATAAATTTCTAATATTTTCATTCACATGCTTAATTCAAAAAAATTCACATAAATAATGTATATTGCATATACGATCTTTGGTTGTAAATGCAATCAAAGATTCTATCGTCCCATATCAGCATATAAAACAATAAAATCAAAAAAATTTTACTATGAAAACTGTACAATTACATAAATTTTGTATTACAAAAATAATTTAATTAAAATGAAAGAATTTTCTAAGGCTTATAATATTGATTTTGTACGACACAAATTATTAAAAAACAATTTATTCACATATTAATTAATTATTAATATTTTTTTTTTAATTTTCTCGTTATAGAATCACAAAATCAGTACACGTTGTAAAGGCACGCATCAATTATGGTAGCCATCTAGAGTGTTATAGCTACAACGCAAGTAATCATAAAAATTGGATTATGTTATATTACCAAGAGACAAAGCTATTGATTTTGATTTCTGACCTACAAAAAAAAATATCATTATAAATAATAAATTAAATAAATTTTAAGAAATTGGAATTTAATTTTAAGAAAGAATTTTTGTAAAAATTATAATCCTTGTAGTCTTTTTTTTATTTAAATAGGTATTAGGTGTCCAGCTCCAGAAAATTCTATTTCATATCAGAAGAGAAGCTTCAATACGTCACTTTCACATAAAATCTGATCTAAACTTAAAATATTTTCTACGTTCCTTCTTTTCGAAAATTTTCAATTATTGACAAATAAAATTTTCTTTTTCGTGTTTTAATTAACCTCAAATAAATAGTGCTAAAGTTGATGCAAATTGCTAAGAATTAATCCATAATTAGTTTTTACATGTAAACTGAGAAAATTTCCAAAAACTTTTCATTTTGGTTATGATATACAAAAGCTTAATATGTAAAATTTATATAAGCATTTATACACAATTTGGTTGGTTGGTTTATGTGGCCGGTCAACAGGTCCTCCGCACCTCAATTAACATAAATGTACCGTTTTGCTACAAATACCCCGTGATCACCAGATCATTAATTGAGCGTACGATTACATGTAGCCTATCTTATCCAAACGGTTCTCTTGAGGAATCCATCTTAATCACCGATGCTAATTTTCAATATCTCGTTTTGCCACTTCATATTTCTTCTGCCCCAATTGACCAGTCTGGCCCCGTCACATGTTCTCTGCCTCACAAAGATAGTGTAAAATAATGGGTATGAGAGTGAAAAATAGTGGATATGCCTTAGAGTTATCAAAAACTGTAACCAAAACTATCTGATTAATTTGTTGAGAAATAGCTTCTATACGTTCATATCTTTTATATTTTTTAGTATCAAATTCCATCCCAATGAAACCTCTAATTAATTAATGAAAATGTATTTTCTTAAGATATTTTTAAGATATAAAGGTATGGCCGAAATATTACTTAATTTATCATTATTACATACAGCTGAATAAATCATATACGAAATTTGTTAAAAATATATATCAGTGTTATATTAATTTATTCTTACAAAGAAATATACTTTTAAAATATCCTTTTAAGATATTCTCACAAAGATTACAACAGAAAAAAAAAAACCACAAATTTTTGTAAAAATAATATTTTCCCACATATAAGTACATAATATTACCAATAATATAAGTAATTTTATGATCACCTCCAATTAAACTTATCGTAAATTATAGAAATATCGTGAACATCCTTACAATAATAAACGAAAAATAATTTTCATTGAACATCGCTGCAAGCTAAATAATTATTACTATTATAAATTCTGCTTTTATATAATTAATAATTTAGTAAAGGCCATTATGTCTAATATATACATATAGAAATATTATGCATTTTCTTAATCATATGCAACTTTAAATTAAAACAATAGTTTTCTACCTCCAATATATAATATCGCTAGAGGGTCAATAATTCACGTATTTTAAATTGATTTAAAAGCAAGGAAGGAAAAGAAATATGAATTAATTACGTATTGTTTCTCACGAAATTTCTATTACTGTATACAAATTGAATCAATTTATTGCCAATTTCTTGTCTTAATAAATTTAAAAATTATGTACAAATTAATAAATTCTTTTCCGAAATAATTTCTATATATTTAAAAAAGGGACACGTTTGCAATAACATGAAAATTATTCTTAAATATTTTGCATTTTTATGAAATATTTTACGTGAATAATCATTTCCTGTCTCAGGAAGAGAACATTTTGCGACCAATTTAATTTTTAGATTGTAATATTAATGTAGTACTTTATAACTTTCACTAAAAATATTTTTACGTATATTGTGAATTGAAATATACTGGGAATTAATTTTTATTTTTCTCTTTTACAACAATATGATTTGTGGTTAGCGCTCCCTTTTACAACAATTTTTATAATTTAAAAAAAAAATGGAAAAATAATAGACGATGCATACACACCTTAATGACATTTGATTACCTGTAATTATAGATTGTGACAGTAGGGTTACACGATAAAAGTCACGTGCCGTGGCAGAAGTTATCAATCAATTTAAAATAGATGAGTTTTTTTTTTTTTACTAAATTAAATTTAATTTTTGTTGAGAAAGTAGTGCGACATTCTCTTTGTATATTTGTGTGTATTGTTTTTTCATATTGTAATTTTATATTAAATAAAATATTTATAAAATATTTATGTACGTGTAGTATAAGTATATGCTAAGCTATTTATATAATTTTTATTTTTAATGTTAAATTAATGTTGCAGTTTAATAATTGAATTATAAAAAAAAAGATTACATCATCGCAGCTAATTTGAAAAAAAGCATAAGCATAATTAGCATAAATGATTCTTTACAAACGTGTTCTAAGTACTATATCGTTAGAAGTACTTTTTACTATATTACTACGAACTGAAGTCGGACAGCCGCTTAAACGAAAAAAACATAAAACAAACAGCAACTACTTCAAATACCATTCTCTCGGAAATCGAACTATGACTAGGTATCGGCCTTACATTTTGTTTATAATATCTAATGAGCAATTGACGTAGTTGGTTGAAAGTTAATATTTGAGTTTTGGTGGTCAATGAATTTAACTGCCAAAGTTTTCAATTAATTTTAACATGTTAAAGGCAATTTAGCGGAAGGTTAAAGTGAACCTGTACTAAGAACCAAAATTTCTATTTTTCTAAATATGTTAACCAAAATCTTATTAGTGTCCTTAAATTTTAAAAAAAGTTGCTGAACGTGTCAATTTTACAAATATTAAAATATATTTCTTAATATTATTGAAATTTGATTTGGTATTTCAATTATATACCAAACACATTAAAAACCGATTAACCAAAATATTTTTTCTGCTTGTAATTTTAAAACCTTAAGACAATTAGCAAATTAATTATACTACTCACTCTACGTTATACAAAATTTAAGAGTGAACAGCATTATTCAATGAATTTAATTAAATTCACTTTTTATCGTATTTATTAAATCGAAATTCAAATAAAAATTACATCTTAGACGACTTATTTCGTTCGTTTTTCTCTTCATAATGATTTTTATTTTTCTAATTTATTTAATTTTAAAATCTGATATGGCATTCCTTTGAGAATCTCTTTCTCCTTTATTTTTAATAAATTGTTGACATTCTAAAATTTGCCTATAGCTTGAAATATTATATATAATAAATTTGTATATAAACATTTAAATTTTAATTCTATAAAACTTTATTATGCAATCTTTTTATCCTGAAATCATTAAACTGTTGATCTTCTGTTTATTCTTCAAAATATTATGAAGAAAAGTATTTTTTTTTTCTCAATTTCATAAAGAAATTTTCAATTTAGAAGAAAAATTTTCTCATACAAAAAAAAAAAGACAGAAACAAAAACATGAACAAAAATATTAATTGCATGTCAGAGTATCCTTAAGTGTATTATCCTTTATTAAAATGATATCATTAAACACTCATCAGCAGTAAATATTTACATCAGAAGCGTATGAAAAAAAAAAAATTTAAATCATTTTGTTTTTTAATAAAATATGCGGTAATAGAAAACATCAAAAAAAAAACTTAGATTTTTTAATGTGACCGCACGCGTCAGTGTTCATTTATAGATAACGATTTTTCTTTCTTAACATGAAATTTATATATTATTAAAAACTATATATTACATAATGATTAAAAAAAAGAAGAAAGGAATTTTGTTGACGATATTAAAAGGACTTCAGTCGCAATAAAAAAATCATTATACGTTCTTGTCATTTCCTTTTTTTTCTTTTACAATTTAACCACAAATATTTTGAAAATTTCAAGTGAATGCACGTGCAGTAAGAGGTTAAAGAGTTGATTGATTGCTTCACTGAGAAATATTTCTTTACTATTAGTTTTATTATGACTATAAATTACATATTTGCAAGTTATTATAATTTTATATTGTCATAAGTATGTATGAGTTCGTATTTATGGTTGAACTCTTCAACTCAAAATTTAATTATTTTTGAATTAAGGCAAATATTGTGGAAAACTATTTATGTATTTATTTGTTGCACGCGAACATTTCAAAATAATTGGATTGTCTTTTTTTTTTCAAATTACACTTGTATTTTTATTTTTAATTTGGCATTTTCTTTAAACTTTCTCATACATAATGAAGAAATTTTAATTTTTAAAATATAATCATAATGATAATAAATTGAGAAAAAAAATTATCAGTCTAGTTAATTGTTACATATTAATGAATCAATCTTTATCAACTTCTTGGGAAAGGATGTGAGGCTGTGATCCGCATGAAGTTAATATGCCTCGAGCGGCACTTTTTAACCCTTTCCTTCAGAGATTTCCTCAGTATTGAGATTCGTCAAGGTCAAGTGGACTATGAATCACAAACATTTCTAGTGTAGATTGTAGGTTTGAACAACCGGGCCAACAGTGCACCGTGACCACATATAAGGATCAGCTCCATATTGTTGCGGAAGATAACGAAAACGAATTCAGCGTTCCGATAGCAGCTTGGTTATACGACATAATCATTTTCTCCTATCACCGATGCCCCCTTTCCAGATTGAAAAGCGAGCACAATTCAATGGCGTGCATCTCTACAATCATTCCAGGTTCTTCCTAACTGCACCAAGGGCTACGATTCTTGGTCTTGCCGCTGCTCCATATATTAGGAGAGGTACGACCATCGTAGTATACATCAACAACATAACAGACGGGGAGAAGACCCACGAGCTGCCCGAGATGGCCCTGCAAACCATAAACGTTCCTATGCTATAACAAAAAAAAAAATTGATCAATATCGTTATAATTTAAGATATTTTCTTTCTTTTAAAAGAAATACGAGTATTAAAATAAAAATTGATGTTGTCAGCGCAAATTTGAAATTGTCAATTTACATATAAAATTATTGGTTCGACTTAAATACGGCCAAAGCTCTTCAAACTCTACCTTTAAATACCTTCAAAAATCGGCGTTCTATTTATTATGTGCAATATGCCGAAATGATCTGTCTTTTGTTCCACGTTAGTTAGTAAAGTAGATTGTTCGT